CTCGGGATACCGCTTCTTGAGTCTTGCAAGAAATCCGTCCTTGTTAAAGAAGAACTGGAAGGCATGTGCGAAGAAGGGAAGCCAGTAAGCTGGCATTGACGGGGGAGAGACGCTGCCATGTTGGTGTTTTGACGCTGAGCCGCCGAATAGAAAGATAATGCTTATTATGAATATTGAAATAGTTGCTAGACCAGCGATGGCTGGATTTGCCTGCACGAAGTCGAGAACGACGTGGGTGTGAGCACTCATGGTGAGATTGTGAGGCTCCATTTGTGGGAGCCAGTGACAGTGGAGCGATTTCTCAGCCGATACCCAATGTGAAAGCATGTCGCAGACGCTTTGTCCCCGAGCCAGAGTAAAATTATCGAATTCCCAATGGGCAATCAATAGTAGGAAAGGACAGTCAAATAAAATGTGCAGTGATGCTCTGAGCAGACCAGCCGGGGTTTATATGGTATCAAAGCTGCCCGTCGCTTCCATCTAGCTGGGCTCATCAAAGGTGAATTATCAAGAAAGAGGGGTTTCGGAGAAGACAAGAATCTTTGCTTGGTCCCGATGCAAAGTGGTCCCGATACACCTGTCTGCTTGCCGTATGTCGTGAATGGAGGTGGCCAGTCAGGTGGATGAAAATGCCAAAGGATGGACGCACGGGGGGGACAACAACGCTAACAATAATAACTCTGGTGTGACAATCTATGGCAAGCTGCGGCAAGCCGCCCGCCTCTACCCAGACTAGTGGAAGATTCGGGTCTGGGGTGATGCATGAACCAGAGACGACAGGCAGGAGCTGCCCAAGCGGCACCTTCCCCATAACAAGCAGGGTGCTCCGAAGGTGCGCGTCGCATTTGCCCACTTTGCGGCATAGCTGTCTGGTCTGGTCTGGTCTGGTCGGATGTTGAGCGAAGATTGACCAGACATCAATTGATGCAGCCGCAAACAGACCATGGCGGTCCCAAGAGACTGGCATGCAAGCGAAATGCACGCTGATGATGCATAGTCAGGGGTTTCGGAGTGGCGCCTCTGCAGTGATACAGACCGACAGTCCAACGAAACACTCCACGTTGAACCACACAACATTCACTGTTGAAGACCATCAACGATGACGCCGGCACACGAGCACACCAGTTCCAGCAGAAGGTACACGATTTGTGCTATTTTGTCTGCATGCGGTTAACAACCTACCTAGGTATGTAAATACTCGCCCAGAACACCTAGCTACCTCTCCGGATACTCCTACGGTTGCCTTGCGGCACCATCATCATCGATCCCAACCACTCGGCGCGTTTCCCTACATCTTCGACTTCCATGTTCCTTTGCAAAGGCCACAGGTGTGACTTGTAAGCATACTATTGGCATTTAACTACGTAGTTCCTTTGTGACACAAGAAAAGAAAACTTTGCCCAGACAACAAATCATCAAGGTGTCCAGGCACTGGTACAACAAAACAAAGCTCAGTGCAAAAAGCTGGGTCATGCCCTGCTGGGAAGCAGTTGTTGAAGAACTTTCCAGAACCGGTCAAAAAGGAGAAAAAGGCAAGGACAAAGGGCCGCCACAAATTCCGTTCGTCATAATAACAATCATCCAATAAACTCCCCCTGTTTTTACTCGCTACCTTGCTTAGGCAACAGCAACCCGTGCAGGCAGATCTTCCATATCATCCATAGCACTGTCAGCATCGCTTGCGGGTGGTGATGAGTGCTGCACAGCCTTCTTGCCTCGAGAGGACTTGAACCTGCTCGTCGTCTTTTCCTTGTGGAATTGTTCGTCGTCGGCGTCTGAATTGTACTCTTCCGTCTGCCGTAGTTCTTGTGATTCTTGCCATGTGTCTTCGATGGAATCCTCTACAGCAGCAGCGGCGGCGGTGACACCGGATTTTCGGCCCCGCTTCCGAGATCCTGGAGTTTTGCCAGAGGTCTTTTTGGCAGGAGTTAACTTCTTCGGTGGCTGGGCAACTTCAGCCAAGGCGGGATCGATCTCCATCTCCACGTCTTGATGTGCTTGCTCTCCTGATTGGTCTTCCCCTTCCAGCTGATTCGTCTCTCCATTGGGCGCGACGTGAGCATCTTCGGCATCGGACGCTGTAATGAACTCTGCGCTGACTTGGCCCCGCTCGTCGTCCTGCGTACCGGGTGTTGAAGAAACCGGAGCAACGGCTTGCATGTACCGCATCTCGTCTGCATCATCAAACAGTTCGTCCGGCACTTCGGGAAGATCTCCCGTTTGGTTATACTGGTCGATTAGATATTGCGCACAATCTCGCACACTCGTACTTTCCCAATTGGGCACAGTCTGCTTCAAACGTCTCCAGAGAAGCATCTGAGTATAGCGGTGCCACTGGTTTCGAAACGGCTTGTCCACGAGTCTTTGCCAGGGGATCTTGGCATCTGCGCCGACCGCGGCGACATGAACCGCCATAACAAGACGATATCGTTCCTCAACCGGCATTGCAGCAATTTGCCGCCGGGCCTTTTCAAGCCTGAACGAGATCTGGGAATCAGGTCGACTGGAAACAAGGTGATCCTTGCCATTGGTCCGAATGTTGAGTGATTTCCACTTCGTAATGCATTGCAGCCGACTTCGGGTGCGGCCCATCAGCTCACTAATGTTCTGCCAATCTATAAGCTCTTCATAGCTCTTCTGCAACAGGGTTTTGGACGGCTGGCTGGCTCGCAATTGATCGATCACCATCATAGACTCGATGATGTGCTTAGTAAGGCGAGCCTCTTCATCTTCATCCCAAGTATCCTTTCGCTGGTTCTGGCCGCAGACAATGTAGTTACGGTAACGATCTCGAAGATCCTCGGGATGCCTGTTGATAAGACTCGCAATATAGGACCATTTCGTCCCGTGCCGTTGAATGAGTTCTGCCAATTCAGTGTCTTGCTCTGCAGTCCATGTTCCACGGGCAACAAAGTTATGAAACTTCTTGCGAGTAATATTGATAACTTTTTGTCGATGACGGTCAGGGCATTCAGCAAAGATTCGAGACCAAAGTTGCGCATGAGTGTCCCCGGCTGTGGTTCCACCAGGAGCATGAATGAGCTGAACCAACAGTTAGCAGTAATAACAAAAATCGATGAGCATATAAGGAGCATAGTATACTCACTTCGTTCACTTCATGCTGTGTTAAGTCATGGTCAGCCCGGTAACTCTCTACAGCTCGAGCTATGCGAGCAAGTTCAGCGTCAGTGAATCGACCTTGCGTGAAACCAGTCAAGCGGTTTCGTGACTGGCCAGAAGCCTGCTCGAATGAACCATCTGCATCTGCCGAAGCACCACGCATGGACTGTGAGAGTTTCGCCCTCTTCGGCTTGCGGCCACGAGATTCCTTCTTAGCGGCACGTTTCGCTCTTCGAGCCTTTGGCGTTGCAGCAGACGGCGAAGGCGACTCTCCCGAGGCATTCATGTTGCCATCGTCCTCACTCACAATATCCGGGATGGGATCCTGCTCATAGTAGGTTGGCTTGGCCTTCTTCCGAGTGGATCGGGGCTTTTTCGACTTGGCAATCGGTAGCTCGGCTTCAACCATGCCCTCCAAGCTAGCATTCAACGGCTCTTGTGGATATTGATTAGACATTTCTGGATCCTGATCTACGTTTTGCCCTTCTTCCAATGCTTGCTGTCCAACATTGTGCTCGTCCAAGGCCTCACGTGCCAAGCGCTCGACATCGCCATCTGTATCAGCCAGTGCGGCCACAGCAGTCCGTGTGCGGTCCTCAACCCCCAGGTCAACATCCATTTGGCTTTCGTTGGGAACACTATTCTCTCTAGAGCGAGCTTCTCGTGATTGACTTCGTCGACGTAGGTGGGCGACGGTGGGCGATTCTTGCGGGTCGGACTCTGGCTCATCATCATCATATATGGCACTTTCCGAAACATGGCGCCGCTCTTTCCTCTCGCGGAGGAGTTTAGAGGAGCCTGCCTCGCCATCTTGACCCTCGGGTTCCTGATCATGAGATCGTTTCTTCTTCCGGCCTTTACCATCTACAGTGTCCGAAAGCTTGCGCTTCCTCCTTGTTGGCGATATTGCTGTCGCTTCCTCCTCTTGCAACTGGCCCCATGGTGTATTCTCTGAGCGTTCAATTGGCTCATGCTGAGTCGGTTGACTGTCAGAAATTTCTGCACCCTTAGTCGACTTTCTTTTCGACTTTCTCTGTTTCCTGGACGAGTCCTCTTCTTCCGGGATTGGCCAGGTAGCGATATCGTCTTCCTGGAACGATTTCCGCTTCTTGTCTCGCTTGCCCTTTTTATCTCGTTTCGATTTCCTGGGTGATGGTTCCAGGGGAGCTTCTTCTGCCATGACCGCTACTGGAGCCTGCGAGGAGAAGGTCGCAGGCGCGGCATTGCTATCGAACATTTCTATGGCTCCAAAGTCCTCATCAACTCCAGGCAGCTCACCAATGTCTGCGGCGTTGTCTGAGCCAGCGACGGAGTAATCATCTACGTCCGCCATTGCTGCGTGAGCTTCGCTGCGACGAGAATCGTTTTGGTCGTCGTCCACGGTTCGATCTGGCTGGTGTTGATCTTTTTTCTGTAGGGAGTGGCGGCCGGATCTCGTCTTTGTAGCCTCTTCAGGCTGCGATCCCATCAATGATCACAACGTGGATGCGAGACGAATGTTAGGCCATTTGCTGTGCGCAGACATCAGTGCAGATGTACGAGGCTGGGTTTGCGCCTGGAAACGAGCTTGGCTGTGGGGGCGCTCAAATTGGAGGCGCGTCAAGCTTTCTGGGTCACCATCTGGCGTTTGCCAATTGCTTGTTGCCTGAGATGTCAGGCCCCTATTTTGTTGCGCTCGCCGTGAAACCGAGAATTGCATAATGGAAATGTCAATCAAGGCACTGAGAAAAATTGTGTCGGGAACACACTTTATCACAAGATCCAATACCGACGTCGGTAATCCTTTTGTTCATACATATACATACAACACGACATGACCAAAACATTCCTAAGGGCTGCGCCCATGTATACACCGTCTACCGCTAGCGGCTTGAATGCAATTAATTGTCCTTCTCCTCCTCAGGCATCTTCAACCTCAACGTGACCTTGTTGCACTCCTGCTGAATGTCATATTGTCCACCAAGAACCAAGTCTTTGGCCACCAGTTCCCTGGTTCGGCCTAGGCTCTCAATGGCGGCAATCCTTTCAATGGTATCATCCAAATGTTCCTTGAAGCCCGGTTGGCTACAAATCTCCCGGAAAGCCCGGTGCATTGGAACGCTGCTAGCTCGTACGTCTGCTTGATTCGTAATCGTGAATAAATTCAAGCTGTCTAGATCTCTGATAAAGTCGCATCGCGTCATGATCTCTTGCGCGATATGGAAAGGATATGTTGGTAGGATGTGGCCTACAACAGGGTCATATGTGCTGGCCATGCTCTCTTCCTTCTCAACAAGGGCATGTGCTAAGACCATAGCAGCGGCCTACAGTTTCTGTCAGTACTATTTATTGTCTTCTCGGGGCATTTTGAACGGGGAGAAACATTGAGAAACTTACCGCCCATTTTTGTTGGTCCATAACATCATCATCCATTTCGGTTCCCATGATCCAGCATTGATTGAGGAACCATTTTTTCTCAATGTCCTTGATCCTTTCGCACGTGGCCAACATATCATGGCTCTTTGCTACACGGTTCAGGAAACTCAATCGTCCTCCAACACGGTCATATACATCGTCAAGCTCTTCCTGGGACATCTTTTCTCCAAAATAGCGCATGCGATATCTCTGCAGAGCCTGAATGGCTTGCTTTTTCGGCAAATCCGTCACAGGTAACACTTCCATTCTAGTGGATAGTTGTTTCAGCCGTTCGTAGACCCAATAATCATCCGAGTTGAATACCATGGTCACCAACCCTGCGGCGGCCCACTGTTCAGCGCGCTGTTGTAAAAGCTCGATAAGGTTTCGACCAACATCGTCATTTCGTAAGAGGTGCATCTGATTGACAATGACAACCAGAGGCTTCTTTCTTATACGGAATAGCTTCATGGCCACTTTTTCCAACTTATTCAGCGCACGCTCAATATCCAAAAGAGCTCCCATGTCACGTGGCCCTTTCTCGCTAAAGTACCCGCCGATGTAGTCCTCATGAAATTCGTAGTCGAGCGCTTTGCCCAGGCGGATTCTCACAATCTCCGGGTCAGCATGGGCCTCAAACATGGCGACACCATCGCCATCAATCTTGCGCATTGCTTCAATGAGCATGCTACTTTTTCCGGAACCCTTTTCGCCCAATATGAAGTAGTAATGGCCAACCTCCTGGCCAGTGATGATACGGTCGATATGTTCTTGTTCCGGGCGGCGCACCCAATGTTCCTCGCCGGGAGGGTGACTATGAGGAACGTCTTTGCCCACCGCGGCCAACTCCAATACAGGATCCCCAGGTTCGAAGGCTCGTGTCATTTTCCTAAGAACGAGCATTTTATAGCATTTATGGTAGAGATACCCGGCTCCTGCGAATCCTACTCCCAGGACGAATATTGAGGCGAATGTGGTGGCTGCGGATTCGCCCATTTTGGAGAAGATGGACGGCTCATCCGATTTAGCATTTTCTCTGCCATTATTTTCCTTTGAGGAGGCATCTTGAGCTATTAAGTATGATTAGTCGATGCGCTTCATGTAAATGTGCGAATATGGCAGCTGCTCGTGGTTGAGCATGAGGTAAAATTATTAGAGCAGTGAGGGAAGTGCCTACCACTTTTTCTGGGTCCATACGTCGAAAAAAGCTGTGGGCATGAGGCAGCGTGTCCAATTCGACTGTGCCTAGCAACATTCGACCCGAAGAATGCCCATGTTGCGCGGAGACCAGGCCGTACTGCCTGCATTGTGAGGCGCCAATGAGCGACGAATCGGCGCCTGTTCAATTGCTTCCTGAAGCCCAGGCGGTTGTTGCGCAAATCATGAGATGTATGAGGTGGTCAAGATCAAGCAATCCCTGGACCGTTGAGTGTTTGGGATGTGGCCTCCTCGTGGCTCTTGCGAACATTGAGGTCAAAGGGACTCAGGGACCTATTCCGTAACAAAAAGTTTATTCGTCCCGGCTCTATGTTGGCGACAATTGATGACCTGGTTGGCGCCAATCCTGTCGGCGGCCTCGCAGCGGTGGAGACTGGACACAGCGTCGGGTGGGAGTTTCAGCTGCGCAGGAGGCGGCTCAATGTTGTGAGTGACGGCACTAACGCTTCCACTGTCGTCGAATGACGTCGCCAGACCTAAAATATCATCGATATCGAAGGCGACATAAAGACGTGGCTGATGCACCAGTGTCGCAAAACATGGAACCCTCTTTGCTGAAATATTAAGAGAGAGGTACTGAGCAGATGACTGGTTTGTGTTGACGGGCCGTACTTAACACGTGACAGCCATGATTGGGTTTGCCCACCCTCCTTCCTTTGTATGTTTGCAATCTGATTGTAACTCCATGTCGAAGCACTGGGTTTTACGTCCAAACACAATACAAAACCAGCAGACAAAAAAACCTTGTCTTTTTTCACCACCTGTCAATCTACGGTTTTCTTTCAATTCTTTCAAGATGCCTTCAGTGAATCACTTCGCTCCACTGCAGCCGATAGTCACGCAACGACCAGAGCAGTCAGAAGCATTGATTTTTGCCCCGCTTGGCTGCAAAGGATTCACGATGCAAACTGAACTCGATGTGAGTAAGAAGTGAGGCCAGCTCTCGTAGAAGACAGTACGGTCTGACACGTGATGCAATCGTCTATCATCTGCCATGCCTCTTTACTTTGCCACTTTTGCTTTTATGGACCTGTGTATGGACAACGTTGAATGTGTGTGTGTGTGAAACCTTGGCATCCTTATACACCAACATACCGACGCTCAAATATCTAGTCAAAGCCAAAACGCAGTCACTCATTTGGTCTTTTGAAAAGTTGCAATGATTGGATCAATAAGACATTTGGAGGAGTGGTGGCTCTCATCCGGATTCGACCACCTAACCGATCTTGTCGATGTCGATAGCCTCGGTCTTGGTCCCGAGCAAGTCGATTTCGTTGAAGCTATCCAGCAAAAACTTATCGCTTTTGATAATGACGCCAATTTTCACCATCAAATTTATAAAGATAAATCGGTTCCGGTCCCACCGTCCGCTATACCTAGCTCTCGTGAAAATCTCAGCAGCATCAAAGACGTACTCAAACAAACGGAAAATGGAGGACCAGATCACAGCCAGACATTCGAAGTCTTGGCTATGCTTGAGCAGGTTGAAATCCATCGCGTACGGCTGGCAGCTTCAGCAAAACTGGGAATAGACGCTGGGTCCTGGAAGGACCATGATTCAAGGTTGATCGAGGAGCTACATGACACAGCAAGCAAGAGATATTCACTTCTTCAATTTTATTTTCGCGCACATGTTAGCATCCCGCCCCATCTCACTTGCTGTAACGGAACACTGTTACTAACACATATTCCATTTCAGTGTATCATAAACTTTCTACCACAAGGCGCCATAGATAGGCGCCAAGCAGCAACGATCATGGCCCGATTGAATGCGCTGTTCCCTCCAAATTTCACAGCGTGTGGGGAGGATGAAGTCGAACCTTCATCTGATATTGTAAACTTGCGAGATAAAATACGGCTTTGTATTTATGAGCACCTGATGAGACCAAACAAGATGCTACAAGAGAATGAACAATTGTTCGAGGCCAAGTTTACTTCACCGTGTAGCATGCCCTGCTACAAGACTTGTCGAGACCGCATGATCAATTATGCAGAAGAATTCAAGAAGTTCGAAGAGCTATGTCTGAAAACTCTCCACCGCATCGAAAAGCATCGTGATGGACGATTAGATGATGACAGTCCTCCGAGGTGGTCATACATAACTTTGTCAAACGGTTCAGAGGTACCTGTAATGGTCCAAACAGCATATCGTTCTTTGTATCCCATCGCGGCTGAGACCAGCACTGTCGCAGGAACACCTTTCGATTCGAGACTCAATCCGTCACCAACGTTCATAGACCCCGTTGCATCTGAGAATGCCAATCCACTTCTTGAAGACATGCCCGGCCATGAGCTGTCAGCCACGAAGAAGGATGTTGCCGCCTTTTCACTTGACCCCCCCGCGCCAGATGATCTCGTTTGCCCTATCGATCTTTCGAATCCAGAATTTTATATCCATCCACTTTTCAAAGATGAAAAATTGGTATCGGGCGAAATGCAGCGACCAGGCATCATCCTCGTCAAGGAGCATTCAAGTCGACATTTCTAGTACAATTTCGACAGCGGCGACAACAGCATGGATGATACGCAAGATCTGGGAAAGCCAGTCAAGCATACCGGGAAGAAGCTGGCACTGTCGAAACACGAAGAAATACTGAGCAATGGCATGATGCAAATTCCTCCGTTGCCTTCCATCCCTGAGACTTCCAAGCAAATTATTGCTCCTAAACGTGTTAGGAAGTTCTTTAATCATATGAAGACTGAAAGCGAAGGCCTCAGAACCGTTAAATCTCTATCTGTTTCCAGGAAATCGGATCATTCTACACTGTTGAATTTGTCGCGGGATCGGAGAAAAGCGTTTCTCAAGTCACAAATATCGGACACGAAACTCAACCACGTTGGAACTTTGCCTTTTTCAAAACTTTCGGAGCAGGACTTAGATGAAACTCAGATTTTGAGCAATGATGGCGCCGACTCGCATTCAGACAATAACTTTGCACTTGATCATCATCATGCCGAGGAGTCTTGTGCTTCTAAGCATAGCGTTTGGGTCGAGCAACCTCGAAATTCACCCATGGAGTATGCGCGGGTGTATCTGGTAAACGAGGCGCAAAGTAAACGAGAAGCTCGAAATTCTGCGCTTCCTTCTCCGATCAAGGAGTGGTTTTGGATGCCTGGCCGGGAAAAGTTCCTGATTATACCCAAGGTTCCACCAGAAACCAGACTTGGCAAGCCAGCAAGCAAGCCAATTGATATCGCATCCGATGAAGGTAAGTCTGCTACGCATACATTTGCCAAACTTTCGCCACCTGCTGCCTGTCCTCGCTTGTCCCTCCATCTTGGAGGCATGAGAACTTTGCAGCTATCCGCCATCAACCTGGCGACTATTACATCTAAGAGTCCAGATTCCGCGATCTCGGCACTCCGGCACACAAAGGACTCCCATACAGAACTGTGTTCACAGTTTCATCATCGTAGAGAGAATGGAATAACTTCCACATCTCAAGCAGATCATAAACCATCATCACCCTCTGCGGACACTGAACGAGCAAGCTTCCGTAATGCGAATGTGTCGCCTTTGCAAGATGCAAATTCACACTCGAACGAAAGTACTGAACTCACGCAAGGCTCTCTTCCAATTTTGTTGCCAAGGACTTACCAACCACCGGTCCATAAATTCCAAAACAAATTAATCTTTCCAAGTCAAACTCCCGACACGCCTCAGCCTCGTTTCTCTTTGTGTGTTAAGATTCCATATTCAGATACTAATTTATCGCCAATATCACGGCTGGTATCAACGAGCGGAGCACAAAATCCGCAAATAGAGAACGCTCTGAGACCGGGAGGAATCCAATCCATGTCTGCCTCAATCATCAGCGAAGCTAGTATGGAAGACATCTCACTGAAGCCAAATGAGGCGCCTAGTTCCGGAATCCTGTTCGGCACACGACGATCCCCTCAGGGGCTGGTTGAGCGAAGAAGCCCAAGGACTAGTTCCCTGGACTGGAAGCGATATACAAGTCCTCAGCGCCACTCGTTTGATGCTAGAATCAACACACCCACTCACTCGCGAACTGTTAGTTCAGGTTCAAGTACCCAGTACGCAAGGGATAGTCTCACGTCGCCGGCCCTATATGCACGATATCTTGAACATTATCCCTTCACAGAAGCGCGTCACCATTCTTCGTCAACATCTCAGGAGAGACTGACCTCGTCCACCCCCATCCCGGATTCACCTACATTGGGTCACGAGCATGAAGAGTCGGAGCTATCTGCTGATAGTAGAGATGAAATTCACGAGCAGCAGTCTTTTGATCTCCTCAAGACATACATGCGGAGCAGGGGGAACCGTGCGAAACATTCCAATGACAGAACTGGGCCGTCTACCAGCGCCAATCAACCTACAACCAAGACATTGGATTCTAAACATGGCGGTGTGCACTGGTACAGCTCCAGCTTCGCTTTGAACAAAGCCAAGAGCCACGAGGCGTTCACGTTACTTGCACAGCCATCACCGACCAGCAATCAAAGCATTCATTCCAACCGGCCGCCAGATTTTACCACACTACCCCTAAATTACCCGTTCAGGAAACCCGCCAAAACGTGCGGTTTATCAGATAAATCTACAGCATTAGCTTTACAAATATTCGATACAACGTCACGACTCGCGTCAGTGGCAAACAGACGCGACTCTGTCAGCTCCATCACTCCCCCACCAAACCAATCATGCGACGCGCAAAAGCAATCCTGTGCTGCTAAACCTTCCAGGCTTGGCAGTCTATTCTCCCGGCACATTCGAGGCAGATCATCGGGCAGCAGCACTGCAGAATTCCAAGCCCCCGTCGCAAATGCATCTACTAACGAGAGGGCGCCCCGAGGCCCCAGGAACAGTCGGGATCATGTGGAGTTGTCGGATGAAAGTGGCAGTATTTACTGTCAACCGTCGATGTTGGAGACCCAGGTCCAGAGACAGCATCCGGGAAGCGGCTATTCCATCACGACCAGCACCAACAGCATTTCTGGGATTAGAGGCAAGTTGAAGCTGAAGATGGCGCCGTCTCAGGTGAAGCAGCAACCAGGCCTGTAACTACTGGACAACCAGGCACAGGCACGTCGGCACTGCTATTCAGAGACAAACGTGCACGTCGGTAAGGTACAGACACCCGGACCCCCCACAGCGGATCGATGGCACAGAGATGACGGGAATCTGGAGAGCATGCGGAGTGCGGAATATGAAACTGCATGATGACTTTCTGGATTATCAATGTGTTCAACTGCAAGGTACAATATGGCTGGGGGCCTCCACACCCCCAC